TCCGGTAGACCCCCTCCCCCCTCAGGGTCCTGCTCCTTCAAGTGTGTCTCAGGGAGACCCCCTCCCCTTGGTTGAGCTTGTCGAGGTCACTGGTGACTCTGGTGCTGCTCGGGGTGCTGCGTCTGGGGGTGCTGAGCGTGCGGTTGCGGAGCCTGAGCGTGCGGAGCCTGGAGGTGCTGAGCCTGCGAGTGAGGAGCCCGGGGGTGCTGAGCTTGAGCGTGCGGAGCCTGGGGGTGCTGAGCCTGCGGGTTTGGAGCCTGGGGGTGCTGCGTCTGAGCGTGCGGAGCCTGGGGGTGCTGAGCCTGCGGGTGCGGAGCCTGGGGGTGCTGAGTCTGGGGGTGCTGAGCCTAGGGGTACTGCGTCTACACTACGGGAGCCTCTCTCACCACACCAACTGCGCGAGTGGTACACTCGACGCACCCGCCTTCGGAGTGGTGCTGCTGGAGCTGGAGGCCCTGGAGCTGCTAGTCCTGGAGGTGCTGGAGGTACTGCTGGTTCTGGAGGTACTGGGGGTGCTGGAGCTACTAGTCCTGGAGGTCCTACTGGTGCCTCGCCCCAGCGGTCTAGCCGGCGGGAGCCTCTCTCACCGGAGCAGTTGCGCGAGTGGTACGCTTGGCGCATCCGCCTTCGGAGTCGCGCTGCTGGAGCTGGAGGCCCTGCCACTGGAGGCGCTGGCGCTAGAGGCACTGGTGCTGCTGGTGCTGGAGGTGCTGGTGGTGCTGGCACTGCTTGTCCCGGGGGTGCTCGTGCTGGTGGCGCTGGAGCTGCCGGAGCTGGTGGTGCTTCTAGTGCTGGAGGTGCTGGAGGTAGTGGAGTTTCTGGAGCTGCTGGAGCTGGTGCTGCTGCTTCTGCTCGAGGTACTGGAGCTGCTGGTCCCGGAGGTGCTCGTACTGGAGGCACTAGAGTTGCCGGAGCTGGTGTTGCTGCTGCTACTGGAGGTACTGGAGCTGCTGGAGCTGCTGGTACCGGAGTTGCTCGTGCTGGAGGTACTGCAGGTGCTGGAGCTGCTGGTCCTAGAGGTGCTTGTGCTGGAGGCACTGGAGCTGCCGGAGCTGGTGGTACTGCTGGTGCTGGCGGTACTGGAGCTGCTGGAGCTGGTGGTGCTGCTGGTGCTGGAGGTGCTGGAGGTGCTGGAGCTGCTGGAGCTGCTGGTCCCGGAGGTGCTCGTGCTGGAGGCACTGGAACCGCTGGAGCTGGTGGTGCTGCTGGTGCTGGAGGTGCTGGAGGTGCTGGAGGTGCTGGAGGTGCTGGAGCTGGAGGCGCTGGAGCTGGAGTCACTGGAGCTGGAGGCGTTGGAGCTGGAGGCCCTGGCGCTGGAGGTGCTGGCGCTGGGGGCGCTAGAGCTGGCCGTCCTAGTGCTGGAGGCACTGTGCCGCGGCGCCTGTTTTCGCTCCACCGTCGACGTCGTCTCTGCCGCCGCCTGGCTCGGTGCTTCGCCAGGTTCTTAGTCTCCCGTCTTCTACTGGCCTTACGCCACCCTTTCTGTGTCCACCACCTGACCAGTCGCAGCCACAGTTACAGCCAGCCTCCCCACTGCCTGCTCCTTCTCCTTACACTGAGCAGACAGACTCTCTTACAGAGCGTCGTGAGCCTGCGTCTCGCCCTGCCTCGCATGTTCGTGCTCGTCGCACTGGTCGTCGTGCTCCGCGTCCGCGTCCTCCTCCTGTCTCCGGCACTCACAGTATGACACTTCGCCCTTCCTCTGTTCCACTGCGCGTTCCCCTGCCGTCTCCTCCTGCGTCCTCTCTTCCTGACGGTCCGGACCCTGAGTCTGACTTAGTTCGTGCTGCCAGTCCTACTGTCACGCGTCTCCTAGCCACTGTTGTCACTGACCCTTCGTTTGAGTCCACTGCTGCGTCTGCCTTGGTCGCTGAGCTTGTTGACTTTGCTGCTGCTTGTCGTCTCGACTACGCCACCAGTCTCGTTGCTGGGTATGAGTCTGTCTGTCCTCTGTCCGTCGGGGGTGAGTGTGCTCTTGGCACGGACGTCCCTGAGGACAGGCAGGAGGACTTTGAGTGTCTTGCAGCTGCTGTACCTCATCTTGTGTCCATGCTGCTTGCACCTAAGGGAGACCCGGATGCTTTAGACATCCCGACCCCGCGCTCTTACGCAGAGGCGATTACGGGTCCCTACTCCTCTCAGTGGCAGACAGCCATGGACGCAGAGATGGCATCCTGGAAGTCCACAGGCACTTACGTCGACGAAGTTCCCCCTCCAGGGGCGAACATAGTCGATGGCATGTGGATTTTCAGGGTCAAGTGGCCGCCGGGTTCTCCGCCTCTCTTCAAGGCTCGTTACGTGGCACGAGGCTTTAGTCAGCGACAGGGAGTTGACTTCTTCCAGACCTTCTCCCTTACCCCGAAGATGACCACTCTTCGGGTGCTGCTGCACATCACCGCTCAGCGTGACTACGAGCTTCACTCTCTTGACTTCAGCACAGCTTTCTTACAGGGCAGCCTGCACGAGGAGATCTGGCTGCGCCGCCCACCTGGCTTCACTGGGTCATTTCCTGCAGGTACCCAGTGGAGCCTCCGGCGGCCAGTCTACGGTCTCCGCCAGGCGCCTCGTGAGTGGCATGACACACTGAGGACGACACTTGCGGCTCTTGGGTTTGCTCCTTCGACTGCTGACCCGTTGCTGTTTCTGCGCACCAACAATTCGCTGCCGCCGTTCTACATCATCGTGTACGTCGACGACTTGGTCTTTGCCACTGCTGACACTGAGGGTCTGGCCCTTGTGAAGTTGGAGCTGCAGAAGAGACACACGTGCACTGACCTGGGCGAGCTGCGCAGCTATCTTGGCTTGCAGATCACCCGGGGCAGAGCACGGCGCACCATCACCCTGACTCAGTCACACATGGTGCAGCAGGTCCTTCAGCGCTTCGGCTTCACGTACTCCTCGCCACAGTCCACTCCTCTGCCTACCGGTCACTCGCTCTCAGCTCCACCTTCGGACGAGTCCGAAGAGCCGTGTGGCCCGTATCCAGAGCTTGTGGGCTGCCTCATGTATCTGATGACATGCACTCGACCTGACCTTGCTTACCCTCTCAGCATCCTGGCACGCTACGTTGTGCCTGGGAGACACCGACCAAAGCACATGGAGGCCGCTACGAGGGTGTTACGCTACTTGTGCAGTACGTCGGGCATGGGGCTCGTGCTTGGAGGACGGGCTCGAGTTGTCCTCACTGGTCACGCAGACGCTTCTTGGGTTGACGACTTGGCTACGCTGCGGTCGTCACAGGGTTACACCTTCAGCCTTGGCTCCGGTTTTGTTTCTTGGCGGTCTACCCGCTCGTCTTCTGTTCTCAGTTCTAGTTGTGAGGCTGAGATCTACGCAGGGGCCATGGCTGCACAGGAGTTACGCTGGCTCACCTACCTGCTGACCGACTTGGGAGAGCGGCCTAGTTCTCCTCCAGTTCTGTACGTAGTCAACAAGGCCATGATTGCCTTGTGTCAGGAGCACAGACTGGAGCACAGGACTAAGCACATCGCTCTGCGTTACTTCCTTGCTCGAGAGTTTCAGCAGCGTGGTCAGCTTCGTCTTGCTTGCGTGGCCACTCGGGCCAACACTGCTGATATATTCACCAAGGCACTTCAGCCTCGTGATCATCAGCGTTTCTGTACTGTTTTAGGCCTTGTGCCTACTTTGCCTCACTTCGTGACTTTGCTTGTAGTGTGATCTATATACTTGTACCTGCATGCTTACACTTGCTAGGTTGTGATCACTCTACTGTTTGTTCCCATATATATAACTCTGCATGTGAACTGGCCTTGTGGCCACTTGCTTGTGCTCAGAGTGTGTGGTGACTTCGTGATCCACCCTGAGCTTGCTTTGTTTCTCTTGACTGGTCTTGTGACCCTTTGTTCTCCCCCACTTTGCCTATGGGGGGGTGTCAAACTATAATGCTGATTATGTTGTGTAGGTTGTAGTGGGGTAGCCTATATGGGGTACAACCCAATTAGGGTTAGTACTTGTACTCAGTTTGATCTCAATGCAATCATTCCTGCCTGTTAGTTTCTGACAACTGGTGCCGCAAATCCGACGTGACGACGCGTTTCGCGATGTAGATTCACGATCGGAATGGCCCGGGTTCTCGCCATGCCAGGCATCGACTGGGCGGCGCCATCACTGGCTACGCCTGAGCGCTGTGCCACGCTGTCGTGCTGCGACTGTGTGCCGGATGAAATTATGATCGGCTCGTCCGTTTGCGCGGGTGCATTTTCATGTGTCTGTGTTGGTGCAGGTGCATTCGTCGCTGATTGCCAGCGGGCGGCGTCAAGTTCCGCTGTGAGCTTCGCGAATTCTCGAGTTGGCTCACGAGACAATCGAGTTGTTCTAGTGGGGAAACGAAGGTGTGGGTGCGGTCCGAGAGAAGATCGTAGGCTGTGTATACCAAGTGTTACGAATGCAATTGAGCGAGCGAGCGAGATTGCACTTTCGAAGCGAAATAGTACATTGAGCGAAGGCATGAGCAAGAACCATATAGCGAAGAGCCACAGTGGTAACGGTAACGAACTGTGATTGATGCGCGACGGGCCTGTGACTGAGGTTGGGACTGAGGTCGGGAAGTGTCGAAGCGAAGTGTCAGAACTAGCAGGAAGAAACAAGAATGAAGAAAGGAGGGTTTGCACTAGCAGCAGTTGGCATACATATAGGAAACTCTAATTGGGTTGTACTCGCTATAGAGTACCCCACTGCAGGCTAGACAATAATAACATTCTGACACGAAGGCCCGGAGCCCGGGTTACTAGCCGAGCTGGGAGGTTGGGTTGCGACGAGCGAGGTGGCGGGAAATGGTCGAGGCGAGTGTCGCGAGTGGTAACGGTGCTCAGTGTGGCGAGACTAGTAATGTACGCGCTAAGCAGGGATGCGGCGTAAGGAAACGAAAATTTCCTTACAACTCACACATGCTACAAAGGCAGGTTGTGGAAGAGATCCTCGCTAAGGTACCCCGTGGTATCGTAGCAATAACGAGATATATACTGTAATGTGTAAAAGCACTAGCCTCCACCTATTTGCAGCTTCATCCCCTTCTTGGCACAATCCTTCCCAACGGTGCTAAAAAAATAGTGTTCAAAGTTATTTGCAAGTGAGATTTATTTTTTTGCCCTTCTCTTCGCCTTCACAAGCACGCGACCAACAGAGTGGGTATTGCACCTATCCATCTCAGTATATGAGGTGGCCAAAGCTAGGTTGTGATTGGAGCCAAAACAACGTCCTGGAAAATTGCGGGTTCCCCACTTGAAGACTGCAGCGCACACCAAAGGAACCAAAAAGTGAAAGTGCATTACACGTTATCCAGCACAGATAAAAGAGGAACCAAAACATGTCTTAACACGTACCCAGTGTGTCGGTATTCTGGAGAATTGGTGTGGTCGAATGCTTGACTCCAGGCCAACCCTTCTTGCCGCCAACCAGGATTGCTTTGGCATGCTGCATGAAATGAGGGGCAACAAAAATGTTATAAGCAGGGCGACATGTGGCTCTACGTAGCTGTAAGGATGCAGTGAGGAGCGAAGGAGGAAAAGTGCTAAAGGAATGGAGGAACGTTGGAATGTGGGACAAACTGCTTGGGGCGCACTTACCGCGACTGCATGGCAGGTCGTGCCCGATAGTTCCTGTGAGAAGCCTGTGAACTCGACGAGCACACAAAACACAAACGTCTCAGCAAACGCAGCACCAGCCCCGCACAGTAGCACCAACAATGTCATAACCGCCCCCCATGTAGTGGTCGTCAGTCAGAGAACAACTTTTGCATGCCCAAAAACAGATGAACGCTCAAGCCGAAATTAATTGTTCAAATAGTCCTTCACTTGAAAGGACGTCTGTGACTCAACTACTTCGTAACTGCCAGGAGCAGCAGGCTGAAGCACAATCGTTCTGAGAGTAAGAGAGTTTGGCTAGATTGCCGGGCAGGAAGGAAGTCAAGATTGCTCGAAGTATCCTTCAGAAAACTCTGCATCTAATTCTGTCGGTTTTATTACAGGAACGTAAATAAAGTCAGCGCACGGCGAGCGATCCCGTGATCTCGGAATAAATAACAAGTCGAGCGCCGTCGACTTGGATAGTCAAGGGTGCAAAAGAGAGTGAGAGCGAGGAAAGGGAGGGTGAGGACGAGATCGTGACGGGCTTACAGCATAGGAGAACGAGAATCACGGAAGCTGCCAAGCCGAGAGACGGAAGCCGCGCCATTCAATAGCAAGTTGCTCGACCGACCTGCAGACGGTACCAGTAGCAGTCGACCTAACGGGGCTTGTAAGCTTTTGAGACGGAACAGCTTCAGTTGTAATGGCTACGGCTACTACGCGCAGTCCCTCCTTTTTATCCGCTTCGGCTGTGATTGAGGGATCAGGCACGCCATGCCGCCAACGGAGTGCGGCACTCACGGGCCACCGACGGAGAAATCACCCAGCGCGGTGTGGTGGTTTAGGCTTGTGCCTCATCAGTAGTACTAGTGGCGTTGACCTTTGACGACTGCAGACCCATTGTGCTTTGTCAACGATAAACGAGATCGACGCTGTACCGACGAAATCGACGCTGTACCGACGAAATCGACGCTGTACCGACGAAATCGACGCTGTACCGACGAGATCGACGCTGTACCGACGAAATCGACGGTGTCACGAAATTGACGCTAGTACCCACGAACACCATTCCGCTCGCATGCGATTGGTGCTTTCTGTACAGGCGAGAGAGGTTCGTCCACCGCATGCTGGGATGGGAAGTGATGCGTCCTCTGTCCATAGATTGCAGGGCCGAGTGGCACCCGGCATTGCAGGGTAAGGCCGGGTAAAATAAGCAGCGCACGAATGCTAGGCCACGTAAACTTTCGTTATACTCTTTTGAGAAGAGATTAGATCCTCTACTACATAACCAAATTCGAATTCATATATTACTTACCACTATACACTAAATTGAATGAGCTACGCATTTCCACAAACAACCAGAATTGTACTACTTTTATCCTGGCTGTGACCATGAAATCTAATTATAAATACATTCTAATCCTCATCCTCCTTTTCTGCGGTGCAAAAATCTTGGTTTTGTAAGGGGTAGCGCATAAAAAATTTGCCACAACTTTTATAATCCCACATGAGACTTGGTTAGGAATCTTGCTCAGGACTAACCGCGGAGTAATTTGTAGTTGAAATGATTAATGGCAAATGTCAGAGTGAATATTAGATGACAGAATTGACTATAACTAAGACATACAAAGGTTTATAGCAGTAGAAGCAGCAACAGCAGCAGCAGCAGTCGTGGCAGCCGCCAATTTTGTAACAGTTGATCCCACCAGTAAGTAGCCTTTGGGCCCTTGGTCTTCCCTCCTCTCCTGTCCACCCAGAGTCTCCTACTGCGTACGGTCCTACATTTCCTCCTCCTGACTCGGCTCCAGCTGTTCTCTCTCCTCCTTAGTCACAGTCACCTCCTCTGTTTTCCCGCAGACTGGACCACTCGTTGTCGAGGAACAAAACAAGACAGTGCTCGTCCCTCGTCTCTTTTTAACGACCTCCGCACTGTCTTGTTTTGTTATAGTCCTCGCCGTGCTCCGCCTGTATCTGTTTTCCCGCCAGCTCTTAAGTCGTCTCTCACTGTCTCCTCTCATCCTATCACAGACTACTACCGTGCTGCTCGCCCTGTTGTCACGCGTGGTTCTCGCCTCTCTTGTCACCGACCCTCGTGCCTCTCCGTCGTCTGTCTCGGCTCTTACTCCTGCTGTCTCTGACTTTGCTGCAACCCACCGCCTTGACTATGCCACACGCGTGGTGGCTGCTCCTCCTACCTGTCCTCTGTCCACCTGGAATGAGTTTGTCCTTGGCTGTGACATCCTAGAGGACAACCAGTTTGAGGTGAAGTTCTTGGCAGCTGCTTCTCCCTCTCTCTGTGCCATGCTGCTTTCCCCTAAGAGAGACCCCGACGCCCTTGACATTCCGAGTCCTCGCGCGTACCGTGTGGCAGTGTCAGGGCATTGGGACTTTTAGTGGAAAGCGGCCATAAACTCAAAGATGGCGTCTTGGAGATCCACAGGCACCTATCTCAATGCAGTTCCCCCTCCCAAGGCGAACGCAGTCGACGGCTGTGGATCTTCAAGGTGAAGCAGCCGCCTGGATCAACACATGTCTTCAAGGCACGCTACGTGTCTAGGGGCTTCAGTCAGCGTGAGGGAGTTGACTTCTTTCAGACCTTTGCCCTTCCCCGAAGATGACTACTGTTCGGGTGTTACTTCACGTAGCAGCACAGCGAGACTACGAGCTGCACTCCCTCGACTTCTCTACTGCCTTTCTCCAGGGCCGCTTACACAAGGAGATCTGGCTGCGTCATCCTCCTAGCTTCACTGGCACTTTCCCCCCATGGACCCAGTGGAGCCTGAGATGACCAGTCTACGGTCTCCGCCAAGTGCCCCCTGAGTTGCACGACATGCTACGCACCACTTTGGCTGACCTCGTTTTTCGCCCTTCGTCCGCCGACCCATCACTGTTTGTCCGCAAAGGCTCCATTACGTTCTTTGTCCTGGTCTACGTCGACGACTTGGTCTTCGCTACAGTAGACATGTTTGTTCTGGCTGAGGTGAAGTTCGGACTGCAGAAGAGACACACGTGGACTAACCTGAGTGAACTGCACCGCTACCTTGGCTTGCAGTTCACCAGGGACAGCCGCTCGCACCATTACACTCTCACAGTCACACATGGTGCATTATATCCTTCAGCAGTTGGGGCTTCAGTTTTCCACCACACAGCCCACTCCTCTTGCTGTCGACCACAGACTCACCGGCCCTTTTCACGCCGAGCCCTTTGGGTCTAGTAGTCCCTACTTAAAGCTTGTGGGCTGCCTCATGTACTGGATGACTTGTACTCATCCGGACCTTGCCTTTCCCCCCATCGTTCTCTCTCGCTTTGTTGCAAGTGGGAGACACCGTCCCGTGCACTGGATGGCTGCTTTGAGGGTGGCGAAGTACCTGGCGACTACATCAGGCGTGGGGTTTGTGCTTGGAGGGACACAGCCATTTGTACTGATTGGACACTATGACTCTTCGTACGCTGACGACGTGGAGACCCAACAGTCTACTCAGGGGTACTTCTTCGGTTTGGGTGCTGGAGCTATGTCGTGGAGGTCTACTCGGTCGTCGTCTGTGGCACAGTATAGCGTAGAGGCAGAGATCTACGCTGGTGCCATGGCTGTGCAGAAGCTTTGTTGATTGAATTTCTTGCTCACTGACCTTGGTGAGCGACCTTGCTCTACACCGACCTTGTTCGCTCATAACAAGGCCATGATCCTCCTTTGTCAAAAGCCTTGACTGGAGGGCAGGGTGAATCACATCGACGTGAGGTACTTTCCCCTGCGAGAGTTGCAGTGACTCGGCCAGGCTCGCTTGGACTTCGTAGCCTCAGCGGCCAATATAGCAGACATTTTCATCAAGGCCCTAGTGCCTTGTTGACACTGGTGCTAGTTTGCTGTAGCATTGTTTCTTTTTGCTTGCTCTGCTTGTCCTTGCATCTATATATATTTGTGAACTCTTGAGCTGGCCTTGTGGCTGCTTGTTTGTTTCGAAGTATGTGGCGATCTTGAGATCCACCCTGAGCATTGCCTTGTTTGTTGCTTCTCATGGCTGGTGTTGTGACCCTTTGTTTCCTTTGTTTGTTTTGATGCCCCTCACTTCGCCTATGGGGGTGTGTCAAATGTTATACATAATGTTGATAGGCTATAGTGAGTAGAGCTGCGGGGAGTACAACGCTTTCTAGGTTTAGCATTTGTATCTCCCATCCTACCGTATCCCTCCGAATAGTAGCGCATATGCGCTTATAATTAAATCGTTTTTTTAGTGGGGGCGCTGTCAAACTTATATGCTATAGTCTGTGTAGGCTGTAGTGGGGTAGCCCATATGGGGTACAGCACATTTAGGGTTTCCTACTTGTACCACATTGCTGCTAGTTTCCATCATTCTCGTTTCCTATCTTTCACATGGTTTCAGAGCAGGTTCCCTAGTGGGAACGTTTTTTTTTCCTAAGGGCCCACCAACGATTTTCCTCCTGCGCTGCCCGAAGCGCGCTGCCGCGCCTGCCTGCCCTGTAGTGCGCCTCGCGCCTGCCTCACCCGCGCCCTAGCGCGCCCTGCCTTACGCGCGCCTGCCCTAAGCGCGCGTTCGCGCGCCTGCCCTACCCGCGCCGTCGCGCGCCCGCCCTACCTGCAGCCGCCGTCGCGCGCCTGCCCTACCCTGCCGCCAGTCGCGGCCCTGCCCTACCCGCCGTCGCGGCCCTGCTCTACCCGCCCGTCGTGAGCCTGCCCTGCCGCCGCCCGTCGAGCGCCGGCCCTACCCGCCCGTCGAGCGCCTGCCCTACCCGCGCCAGTCGCGCGCCTGCCCTACCCGCCGCCGGTGGCACCTGCCCTACACGCCCCTGGTGAGCACCTGCCCTACCCGCGCTACCCGCGCACCTGCCCTACAAGCGCGCTGCCGCGCCTGCCCGCCTGCCGAGCCGCGCCGTCCAGCCGAGCCGCGCCGCCCAGCCGAGCCGCGCCGCCCAGCCGAGCCGCGCCGCCCAGCCGAGCCGCGCCGCTCTGCCGAGCCGCGCCGCTCTGTCGATCCGCGCCGCCCTGCCCGCGCTGCTCCTACTGCTACAGCTGTTACTGCTGCTACTGCTGCCTCTGCTGCTACTGCTGCTACTGCTGCTACTGCTGCCACTGCCGCCATGGCTAGCCCTACTGTTCTTACCTTCGATGCTGAGGGCCGTGCGGTCGATTTTGACGTTTGGGTAGATGACCTGCAGCTCTTTCTTCAGTGCGACTCTAGGGACGGAGTCTCGCTTTTCGATCACACGTCCGGCGCCTCTGTTGCACCTGCTGCCACTGCTGACAGTACGGTTCGCTCGCAGTGGACTACTCGTGACGCTGTTGCTCGCCTTGCTGTTCGTAGTCACCTGCCGTCTGCTGAGCGCGCGCACTTTGGCCAGTACAAGACTGCTAAGTCTTTGTATAACGCTGTCGTCGCGCGCTACTCCTCCCCTGCCACTGCTGCCCTCAGCTGCCTCATGCTGCCGTACTTGTTCCCTGACCTGGCCGCCTTTGCCACAGTCGCTGACCTCATCACTCACCTCCGCACTAGTGACACCCGCTACCGCGCAGCGCTTCCCTCGAGTTTCGCGCCAAGAACCCCCCCCCCCAAGTACATCACCCTCTTCTACCTCGTCACCCGTCTCCCT